AGAAATTTTAAATAGTTAATTTGATATCAATATCGATATATTTTTATTAAATTTTTATGATATTTTTAAATTTATATTTTATTCAAAAATAAAAATATCATTATTTTCTCAAAATCAAATAAGACCATATTATAACATCGACTGAGATAAAGAATAAAATAAAATATTAAAATCAAGATGTATCTCACTGCATTGTGCGAGTATCCTTCTAATTACTTTAAATTGTATTTAATTTTTCAAAAAGGGAAAATTGCACCAAAATAGAACCAATTTTCACCTGATTCCTATTTTGGGAAACCAACTTTCAAAATCGTCATTTATGGGTCTCTATCAAACTTTTTGTTTATTTAAGGGTCTGGTTGATCTGTTGAACAGGTAATAGGTAATTTAAAGGTCTCTATCAAATTTTTGGTTTGATTTGCCAAATTTGATTTAAACTTTAATATTGATATGGATTGGTTAGATGTAAAAATATTGAATGTGATATTTAATATTTATTTTTTATTGCATCAATTAAATTTTTCTATTAAATTGATTTTTTTATTGCATTAGTAAAAAAACAATTTTTATTGTGGTAGTTTTGATTTCTTTTAAATCTTCAATTTGATATCTGAATTAAAAAAAAAACGAGATTTGAAATGAAAAATAGATTTTATTGCATTAAATTTTGAAAAAAAAAACGAATTTTAGTTATTTTTTATAATTATTTTACAAGTTGATTTCCTAAAATAGGAATCAAACGCAAATTAATTTCTTAAAATAATAATTTTAAAAATTAGTTCCTTAAAATAAAAATCAGATGAAAGTTGATTCTATTTTAATATAATTTTCACTTTCATAAATGGATAGGACCAAATTTATAGTTTACTTTTCTGTTACGGAGCGAAATGTTAATATGTTAGGAAACACGAGTTTTATATACTTGTGAATATGATTCACTAGTTTTTCGAAAAGCCGGTTACCAAGTCAACCGAAGTGCGGCGATTGACCCTTTCCTTCCACCGCGGATTTCTACCCTTTTCTAACCAATTCTCTATAAATCACCGCATTTAGTTTTGCACCCTCCACCACCCCTCACCATGACTTCACTCATCCTCCACTTCTTCATCGCCGCCGTCTCATGTTCAGTACTTGCCACCGCCACCATCAACGCCGGCGGCACTTGGTCCCTCCTCCGATCAACCATTGGTATCACCGCCATGCACATGCAACTTCTCCCCAATGATCGCGTACTCATCTACGATCGTACGGACTTCGGAGAATCCAACATCTCTCTCGCCGACGGCAAATGCCGGAGGGATCCGAACGACAACGTCTTGAAGAAAGACTGCACTGCTCATTCCGTTGAATACGACGTCGCTTCCAATACTATTCGTCCACTTATGGTTCTCACCGACGTCTGGTGTTCTTCCGGTGCTTTAATGCCTGACGCCACCGTCGTCCAGACCGGCGGATTCAATGACGGTGATCATGTCGTTAGAGTTTTTAACTCCTGTGATACTTGTGATTGGGAAGAACTCAAATCGGGGTTGATTAAACGGAGATGGTATGCTACTAATCATATTCTCCCCGGTGGCCGGCAGATTATCATCGGTGGTCGCCGGCAATTTAACTACGAGTTCTTCCCGAAAATTTCGTCGTCGGAAAAAGCTTACAGTTTGCCGTTTTTAGTTCAGACGAATGATCCAAAACTCGAAAACAATTTATACCCATTTGTGTTCTTGAATCCTGACGGAAAATTGTTTATTTTTGCAAACAATCGAGCAATTTTATTTGATTATTCAAGGAACAAAGTGGTGAAAACTTTTCCGATGATTCCCGGCGGTGAGCCGAGAAATTATCCGAGCACAGGCTCCGGCGTACTACTTCCATTGCGGATTGTACAAGGGACTGTATCAGTGGTTGAGGTCTTGGTTTGTGGTGGTGCACCCAAAGGAGCATTTGTGAATGCCCAAAATGGAAAGTTTAATGATGCTTTGAATACTTGCGGCAGGATCCGAATATCCGACCCGAATCCACAATGGGTCATGGAGACAATGCCTTTGGCTCGTGTAATGGGTGACATGTTGCTGCTACCAAACGGTGACGTCTTGATCATTAATGGCGGATCCTCGGGTACCGCCGGATGGGAATACGGGCGAAACCCGGTTCTTAACCCGGTTTTATACAAACCCGATTGCCAACCTGATGTTCGGTTTGAAATTCAAGATCCGAGCACCATTCCGCGAATGTACCATTCCACCGCGATTTTGATTCGCGACGGAAGGGTGCTCGTTGGCGGAAGCAACCCTCATATTTACTATAATTTCACAAACGTACTTTATCCAACGGAACTGAGCCTCGAGGCGTTTTCACCACCGTATTTGGATCCACAATTATCCGATTTACGACCCACGATCATCTTCCCCGATCCCCAAACCCGATTCGGATACAGAGACCTTACAACGATCCGGTTCACGGTTTCGGGCACACTCTTTCCACATTTGGTCTCGGTGACTATGGTGGCACCGTCTTTTAACACACACTCGTTTTCCATGAATCAACGGCTGTTGATCCTCGATAGTGGAAACGGCATCAGGGCGGTCGGGAATTCGATGTACGAGGCGGTTGTGACCGCGCCGCCTTCCGGCAACATTGCTCCGGCGGGATATTACCTTCTATTTGTGGTTCACCGGCAAATTCCAAGTGAAGGGATATGGGTTCAAATTGGTTGACCGGTGGAAAGTCAAACATGCTGGAATTGTACCCGTGAACTTTGATTTCAAATATCTTATGGACACCCGTGAATCCGTGATGAATCCATTGCACATGGATATCGAGAAGACGTACACCGTTTGATTACGAATTGGGGGGGAGGGGCTAATAAGGTAAAAACAAAAAGTAGTTGGAAAGGATGGAATTATTTATATTTTTAATTCGATTTTTTTAAGGTTTTTGAGATGCATTTCGTGTTTTATAGTTGAATTATGGAGGTGGGTTCGAGTTAAAATCGGTAGGTGAATTTACGAAGGAATATGGTCGAACGGATGGTTGATGGTTGAGGATGATTGTTTGCTAATGTTTTATTTGATATTTTTATTCGTTTTTTGGTATGAAATTGAAATGTTATCATTTATTTATGGTAGAACTTTTAATTCGATCTCGTGTTTTCTTTTAAAGCCATTTTGTACATGCAACGAAAATCTAAACGAAGATGGATAGGTATTTATAAGTTTTTACGGTTTTTAATTGCTTTTTTTGGTTTAGAAGCACGTAAATAGTTCAAGAGATTTGAGGTTCTGTATCGTGATCTAAATTCAAAACAACCTCTGAACTTTACCTACGATGTCGTGTCTTTTGACACACTTTCTAATGTCGGATGTTGAGTTTCAACTAGTATTCTAAAAGTCTTGCTACGGTAGTCGTCGTTCCAGGCTCATGTCTGATACCACATTAAGCCAGCGTGCCGTTTTTGTAATGCGATATTTGATTTGCTTTTTATTTTTAAATGGGTTGATACATTTGACTCATTGAGTAATAGTATAAATATGTGTGTCTATATATAATTACATATATGATATACATAATTGCAACCATAAGTCACGGCTTGAAAAATGATGTGCGCTCCGTGTGACTCCTAAATCTTAAGGTTTGATCCAACCGCTATGCTATGCCACGCCTCATGCCATTTACAACCTTGATTTCAACAAATAACCGTGAACTTTTGTATCATCAAATAAATAATATAGAAGTCACAAACTTTAATAAACCAGTTAGTTATATGAATAAACCAGTTTATCAATCATTGAATATAAATTCAGACATAACATAAAATTGTATTTATACCAACAACATCCTCTATAAACAAAAATTGTAAATCATTAACCACAAGGGTGTTGTCTGATTGGTTTGAGCTTAACTCCAAAGATCAAAAGTATCAAGAGGTCCTAGGTTCAAATCCAATGAGGAATAAAAATCCTCTTGTAGCCATGGAGATTCAAATGCGATGACTCTGGATTATCTGCAAAGCAGGTGGTCGCCCTAAGATTAGTCAGCTCGCATAACAGGTTGGATATCCAGGTTAATAAAAAAAATTGTAAATCATTCTCCTCCATTGAGTGTAATGAGTCATCAAAGGCAACCTTTTCTTCTTGGCCATACTTTTCCTTTTAACATCAATACTTTTCTTTTTACATTATTTGCACAATTGCTGGGAAAAGGGATTACAATATCTATCTATGGAATCGCCTTACTTGTAAAAGGGTCGGTGAGTTGGTTTGTTAGACATGGGATGTTTGATTCAGCTATTTTTGAAGTCAGTTGGTATGGCATGGTATCATGAAGAGATGGTTCAGAAAAGGTAGTCTACGTTGATTTGCTTTTATGTTCGAGTCAAATTACAAACTGATTTCTGTTGGTCACATGTTATTCGAGGAGTAAATTGATACCCCATTCAATGATTCAACTGCTAATTCTAAGAATTGTCATTGGCATTGTCAGTAGAATCGCACTGTTACTTGCATGTCGCAACATTGAGGATTGTGCAAAAGGCACCGATTCTCTTTTTCATAACTCTTTTATTTCCATCACCTTCTTAGATTCGATCTGTGGTAACAAAAGCAAAAATGAACAGTGTATCTAAAACTTTAAACTTTGTTTCTCCATATATAAGTTTTAGAGTTTTTATTTATGTTAGGCACACCGACACATAACTTTAGTCTTGTGGGGATGATCATATGATCAAAACAATGGTTCTCTTTTATTATTAGCTATTACTGCTAGATTCTCACTCTAACAGACGTTCCATCATCCATATAGGTAAAGTTTACTCGTTCTTCGGGAGCCCTTTTTTGATACTTTATTGTGATTTATCTGAAATAAAGACGGAGATAAAAATTACAGTATCCCTTATCATAGTATTCTTTTGGAGTTTTAAATCCTTCATCTTGGCCGGTGACATAGTTGAAGTTGTAAGGTGTTATTTCATATGACTTTTTTTTATCTAAGGCTATAATTTAAATAATATTGATCAACACATAGTTATTTCATATGTATTCAGTTCACAATGTGAAACTTTTTAGTTGTATTTTTTGTTTCATAAACACATAAAAAGTTTCGTATTATGAAACAAATATATGTGAAAGAAACACATCGTCAAAAAAACATATGTTAATCAATACGCATAAATCTAGGCTGTAGAAAAAAAAAAGATCATGTGAAATAGCACATGATACATCAGTTCTCAAAGTTATCATTTTAAAGGTTTTCAAATAATTATAAATATTATAAACACCCATCTCTCATGAATATATACTATCACATTGCTAGCGAAAATTAAAATTAGCGATTTTTTTAGGTATATAATTCTAAATGAGATTTTAATTAAATTCATGATCTTTTTATTAGTATAAAGTCATTTTCCTTATATAGGCTAAGAAATCTTGAATTTAATTAAAAACCCATTTAATTGCTTATTTGAAACAACTTATTTTTTTCTACAAAAACACTTATCAACTTATTATAAGTCAGAAGAGTTTAACTTTTTCAAAAACTTCTTATTATTGGTTTGACACCGGTATAAGTTGTTTATCCAAACACTCAAAAGTGCTTATTACCGGTGTTACACCAGAATAAGTCAATAAATTATTTTTATAAGCAATCCCAAACACCCCTGATCTTTACTTGTTTTCGATTGCATTTGCGATATTGTGGTAGTATTGTTGTTTCCTAATCAAAGAATATTGTCGTTATTATATATAAGAATTAATTGCGATTTTAAAATAGAATATGACAACCAAAAATTCCCAAATATCAATAATTTAAATTACAATTGCCAAATAAAATTATCCACAATTAATAAATAAGTATACATTTTTAAAAATTAAAAAAATAAAATACGTAAAATGAATTGTAAAGTTCAAAAGGAAAATATTATTGTATACGAACCCAAACGCCTTCACTCGGAATATCTTGATGGACCACAAATAAAATATAATTCCCCGCCGGAGCAATGTTACCGGAGGACGGTGCCGTCACACTGACTTTGTAGTGAGATTTTCCGATAATGGTGGTCGTGTTGCCGCCTTCGAGGATCAGCAACCTTTGATTCATGGAAAACGAGTGTGTGTTAAACGGTGGTGCCACCATTGTGATCGAGACCAAATTTGGGTCCACTGGGCACGAGACTTTGAACCATATGTTCATTCGTTGTCCATGATGGACCTTGGTTCTGGTCTTGGGCGAGACTAGTTGTGGGCGTAATCCCGACGAGGTTGGATCCAGATAAGCAGGCGAAAATGCCTCCAAACTCAGTTCGGTAGGATAAAGTACGTCCGAAAATTCATATTTATCATGCGGATTACTTCCGCCAACAAGAACCCGACCATCTCGTAGCAAAACCGCCGTCGAATGGTACATTCGAGGAATGGTGTTCGGGTTTTGTATCTCGAACCGAGACCCAATTGGGCAATCCGGACCGTAAATAAGTGGACTCAAAACCGGGTCTCGTCCGAGTTCCCACCCGGCCACCCCAGCGGCCCCACCATTGATGATCAAAACGTTGCCGTTTGGTAGCAATAACATATCACCCATGACACGTGCTAAAGGCATGGTCTCCATGACCCATTGGGGATACGGGTCGGATATTTTAATCCGGCCACAACTATCCAAAGCTCCATCAAACTTTCCCCTATTCGCATTATTGTATGCTGCTTTTGGTGCACCCCCACAAATTAACACTTCAACCGTTGCTACTTTCCCTTGTACAATACGCATTGGAAGTAGTACCGCAGACCCGGTGCTCGGGTAATTCCGCGGGTCGCCACCGGGTATCGTTGGATAGGTTTTGACAACTTGGTTTCGGACATAATCGAATAAAATAGCACGATTGTTTGCATAAATGAAAAAATTCCCATCCGTGTTTAAAAATACAAACGGGTATAAATTGTTTTCAATATCTGGTTCGGTAGTCTGAACCAGAAACGGTAAACTGGGTGCGTTCTCAGTTGCCGACATTTTAGGGTAGAACTCGTAGTTAAATGATTGACGGCCGCCAACGATGATTTGACGGCCATCAGGTAATATGTGATTGGTGGCATACCATCTTTGTTGACTTAACCCAGATGGTATTTCCTCCCAATCACAATGGTCGCATGATTTATAAACTCGAACGACGTGATCGCCTTCGTTCCATCCGCCTGTCTGGACCAGGCTCCCGTCGGGCATCAACGTCCCGGACGAACACCATACGTCGGTGAGGACCATGAGAGGACGGACGGAGTTAGAGGCGACGTTGTACTCGACGGAGTGGGCGGAGCAGTCGGTGGAGTTGGGGCGGCATTTGCCGTCAGGAAGGGAGATGTTTGAGGCGCCGAAGTCGGTGCGGTCGTAAATGACGACACGGTCGGTGGGGAGGAGTTGCATGTGCATGGCGGAGATGCCGATGCTTGGGAGGAGGAGGGACCATGATCCACCGGCGGCGGCAAGGAACGGTGGCGCGTGGAGGAGGAGGAGTATATGGATATAAAGGAGAGGAGAAGGGAAAGTCATCACTTTGTGGTTTTGGAGGGTGGTGGCGGAGGAAATGGAGTCAGGTGGTGGGTTTAAATAGGATTTGCGGCGGTGTAAAGTGTCCGGCACCGGTAACATCCACCACAGCTTTTTTTTTTAATTATAGTGATTCGAACATTGCACGTTAGTTCATGCACAATGAAAAACTACGTCGTTTTTGAAAAAACTCTAAAGTTGTATTTTGGATATTATCCGATCTGATTCCAAAATGCAACTTACGTTTTTTAAGTGAAAAATAAATTATAAATAAAATGACAGCCAAAAAGACCATATATATATATATATATATATATATATATATGAGAGCGTTCAAATAAAAACCACTCAATTTGTAAAACCGTGAAAACCTCATTCAACCAATCATAATTTTTCATTTTTTTCATTTTTTTGTAATTATGAGAGGTTGATTAACCATTTTTATTGTGCAGTGTGTTAATCATGGATATTATCATTTTCATTATTTTAATTTTAGAGAAATAATGAAACAGTTTCATTAAATATTATATGAAACAAATTCATCAAAAAAAATATTATATGAAACAATTTTACAAGATTAAACAATTTCAAGAAAAAATTTCATAAGCTAATGATCTAATGACCTAAAGTTGTAAGGTGACAATTTTTTGATTATTAAGAAATCTCGTGGCGTTTTTATGAATATTTAGATTGTTAGATTGTAATCTAATCTAAGGATTGAGAATTAGTTACAGGTCTCACGAAAAACCGTTAGTCTCACATGATCACACGTCTATATATATATATATATATATATATATATCAAATATATATATATCACACATATATATATATATATCACACACATATATATATATACATACATATATATGTATATATATAGATACATATATATGTATATATATTCTTGTGGGAATTAAAATTAAAAGAGCAAAGATCACGTGCAGTAGCATCCACTGAAGAAAACTGTAGGCTTCAGTTCATATCGTTCAAAGAATTGTGTTCTTTCGGTGATTCTGGCAGCTCTAAAGGAAGAATATTTCGCACCACTTGTTTATGTTTTTTCAAGAAACCAACTCTCCAGATTTGGTAACGATGCAATTTAAGTTATTTTGAGTAGAGTCTTTAATGACATTGTCAGTGTTTTAGGTCTGTCTGTACGTACTTCATCGCTGGATTCAAGATTTTTGCCATCGTGGTGCACCTTTAAGGTAGATCTAATACTCACAAAGTCGTCTTATATAGTCAAATACCATCGTTTCGAGAGATTTTTTCAAGTTTTTTGGTTGATTTCGAGGGACTTTTTTTGTTCGATTTCAAGAAACTATTTTTCGGTTTTTTGGTTGATGTTTCTTGTATTTTTCTAATATCATGGAGCACCTCTCAAAGTTTACCGGGTTCATGTTTCATACAATAAAAAAGTTTCTACTTGCGGAAATCTATTGAGGGGGTGCAAGGGAACCCGCTCGAGCCTTCATAGGTTTGCCCTTAGAGTACCTAGACTAATTAATTACACAGGACTAGAGCTGTAAACGAACCGAACGTTCAGCGGACCGTTCGTGAACCGTTCGGCGGGAAGTTCGTTTATGTTCGTTTATTTAATAAATGAACGAACATTAACAAATCTTTTTGTTCGGTTAGTTAAACGAACGAACATGAACAAGAGTCTCGTTCGTTCATTTATGTTCGTGAACGTTCGTTCATTTACCGTTCGTTTACGTTCGTTCATTTATGTTCGTGAACGTTCGTTCATTTACCGTTCGTTTACATTCATTCGTTTATGTTCGTATATATATTAAATTTAAATATATAATCTTTTATTTATTTACTTTGAATTCAAATAATATTTATTTATGTTCGTTTAGCTCGTTCGTTTATGTTCGTTCGTTTACGTTCGTTTAGCATGTTAACGAACGAACATAAACGAACACGAACACATCTTATTTCTAAACGAACGAACACGAACACGAACACGAACACAAAGATTTTCGTTCGTTTACCCTTCGTGTTCGTTCGTTTGTTCGGTTAAGTTAAACGAACGAACATGTACAAGCCTTCGTTCGTGTTCGTTCGATTCGTTTACAGCCCTACACAGGACCTTGAAGATAACAGTCACAAAAATTCTTACTATAACTAAGAAGACTTGAACTGACGACTTATAAGGAGGAGCCCATATGCCTAACATTTATTTAGCAATTGAGTTGGCCTTCAAGGTAGGGGTGCTCATGGGTTGGTTTGATCGGGTTGAAGTCATTTGAACAACTCAACCTAATGTTTGCGGTTTGAAAAATCTTAACCCAACCCAAACCGTACGGATTGGTCGGGTTGATAGTTTGGTACATTAAAATATTCTTCTAACCTTGAATATGTTATTATCTACTCATAATTTCTTTTTCATCATCAACCATTTGATACAACTTATCCATACTTCTTAAGTATATCACCTTCAATTAGTTTTCTCAATTTACATATATATGAATGAGTTACATAGAGATGTGAATAGATTGAAAATATGTGTATATGAAAAGCGTACGTGATAACACAATTGTCTAATGTATATATTAATAGAAATTCAACAATCATATTAAATCCAAGAAATAAAATGATATCGAGTTTATTGGGTTAGGTTCAAATAGCAGTAACCTAATACCTACAGTTTTAAAATTTTACAACTCGATTAGACATCGGGTTGAATTATTTCGCGTTAGATTGATCGGGTTTTTAAGCACCCCTACTTCAAGCTGCACGATAAGTAGGTTGGAGGCAAGTAAAAAAAAAGTTTAGATTTATTTTAAAAAACCCATAACCCTTATATTTACCACAATCTTCTCCTATTGCTCCCCCAACGTTCTAGTAGTAATCATTTACCGGTAAAAATTAACACTATTATTTACTTATCGGATAAGATTTTTAATCCATCAAAACGACATTGTATGCAACAATTCACTCGCTAAGTGCTTACCATGGTAAAAATCATCGCCCTCACTTACCGGGTAAGACTCATGGTCCTTGTCTAACTCTTACCGGGTAAAATTCTTAGTCCTTACCTTATTCATCCGGTGAGGTAATGTGACTTGGTAAGCGCTTACCCGGGTAAGTGTTTGGTAAACGGTCCCTTAATTGTTTTCTCAATGATTTCAATATTTAAGTCAGATTATTCAGTGCTTTTACTATAGCTCTCCAAATAATCTGAAACCGTTTAACACGAACGATCCTCATTTGATTAAGATCGGTTATTCTACATCGAATTGTCTTGATACCTGTAGATGTGCCCAGAGTCGCATAGCTTCCTGCATCTGCCATTGCCTTAAAGGTTCACTAGTACAAGTTTATATGAAAAAACGTATTCCACCACTTGAGAGAACAACACATGTGCATTGCCCACAAGTTTAAATAGGAAACGTATTCAACCACTTGAAAGAAGCATCACATGTGCATCGTCCAAACTTTTGTGGGCTAATTTCACCCGTTTCAAAAGCTATGGTTTGAAATTAACACGTTGCTCCATGTATATGTTAACCTCCCAACGAGAGGTACGTCAAATGGACCGGCCTATCAGGCCAGATCGGACCAAAAGAGCGATTGCCGGTTACCCTAGAAACAATCTTGATTTGAACGTATTACAACACGTTTAACCGTAGAATAGATGTTAATTTTATAGAATTGTAAATGGTGACGGTACGATGAAAACGAGACGTATAAGATCTTTACGCTGTACCAAGTACCTACCCAGTTTCCATTTGTAATGCAGGTTTCTCATATCAGAATGGACCCAATATTAATTTGGTGAAAATATGGACGGGATCATAATCGGAATCAATTTTATCTTTTAAGTGCGTTTATAAGACGGCAAAAACATGTATTCTCATGTTTGGTGTGGAACAAAAATCAAAGAGATGAAACAAGATTGGTAAATTACTAAACTACCTGTGTCAAATTAAAACAGTAAGACCTTATATACAATTTTTTCACCAGCCTACCTTACTCTCGCCCTTCCAACCCTTCTAGTCTGCATACCAGACGCACGCTTAGGAAACTTCAACGCCCATTGGACCCATACCAGTTTATCCTATAACCAAACCAAACCAAATCAAACAAATCCAATATATCTCACCTGAAGGTAGCATATGGAGGGTAAAATGTACATAGGCTGTTTCCGAGAAAACTCTTAGCTTGAGGAAAAAGGTAAGTAGAACAGATAGAAAGAGCCATTTATCATATGAACGTATAAATCAACTGAAGGAGCCGAGTCAAGTAGAAGACCGAGGAGGATAAAGCTCCCAAAGTGCCACCGTGGTGTCTTCTGAAGCCGAAGCCATTTGTTTGCAGTCTGCAGCAAACGAAATGGCATTGCACTGCAGAAATGGACCATAATCAGATGGTGATAACATAAAGTGAACAGGATAGCTGCTCTCATTCCAATGGTTAAATGGAATTCCATTCCATTCCATCTAAAATGCTACGGAATGATAAAATCCACCAAGTGTGGAATTCAATTCCATTCATTAGGCAAACCAAACAGATGAATAGAATGTGGTCAAAGGAATTGATTATTCCAATTCCTCCGGATTTCACCAAATTCAGTGGACCAAACGAGGCCCAAAGAAAAAATGGCATACCGTGGCATGGTGATACTTCAATATCGCCAAAGGTTTTCCATTCTTGTAACTGTAAATCCTGATCCTGCCATGGCACGAAATTGAGGATTAAATCACTGATCGTTAGGCTTACATTTTCCTGAGGTGAATGGATTCCTGCATCTCAATGTCATTCATAATCTGAGAAATATTTGGTATATTATAGGAGCGTACGTGGGTTAGTTTGATTACGTTTTGATTGGAACCCAAACCGAACTGTCCTAATGGGTTCCAACCAAACCAAACGAGCCCGGTATATCCCATCAGGAGGTGGGTTCTGAGGGGCTGGGATGCACCCAGACCTGACCTCAAGCCTCAAAGAGTAGAGCGGTTTGTTTCCATGAAGACCCAGGCTTGTGAGAAGTGTGCAAAATAAATGGAAAGTTTTTTTTGGATAAAGATATAAAAAAGAAAAAGTTTCTCCCAAGAAATAGAGGAAATAGCAAATGGTGATGGTCCAGAAAAGAACTAAAACAAGAAAACATGAAATAAAGATAAATCAGTTTAAACACAAGATCCTAGAAGTAGCATTACAAGTATAAGCAATGGGTTGTTTTTCTGATAGAAGCATCGAAATTACTCATCTTAAACAAAATCAGGTTATTTTAGCAAATATATGATTCAAATACAAGAATGATCCATTTGAACTCGATTTAATAGGGGGTGGTTTGATATCATTCAACACTTCAAACCATAAATCATACCCATCACTTTGAAAAGTTCTTTAACAGGGACTGAACCTTGCGCTCTCAAAAAGAAGTCAAACTGTCCAGTTTGATTCGGTTTGGCAGTTTCAACTCATAGACCCCTAGTATATTATACTAACCTGTGATCCCAGCCAGCAGTGCCAAAAATCTTGCTATCCGAGCGAATTGAAGTTCCGGCTATGCCGGGTCGCTCCAAACTAATTTCCTTCTTCACCACACAAGAACCCTAACAGATGACAAACAATAATGAAGTTTACAAGATTATGATCAGAAAAATTGGCATGTGGTAAAAACATTTCAACTATCTTAATAGAAAAGATGAAAATAGATCAATCATGTACACAGTAGCTTTGGGTGTGTTTGCCACTGGACTGGGCAGGCGAGAGTGAGGCAGGTGAAAGAATTGTGGGATGTTTTAGAGTTTTAATTTGATATGGTTAGTTTAGTAATTTACCATTTATGTCCCATCTCCCTGATTTTTCTTCCAACTACTTTGGCGGGACAGGAAAAAAATACAATTTTGTCCCACTCAGGTCGTAGATGAGAGTGATATAGGTGAGTGAAAAAATTGTAAAAGGTTTTAGGATTTTAATTTTATATGGGTACTTTAGTAATTTACCAATCTTGTCTATTCTCCCTGATTTTTGTTCCACCTATTTTGGTGGGACAAAAAAATGCACTTTTGTGTTGCCCGGTCTCGATCCTGTCCCAGATACGAAAACAAGTTTTTGTTATGTCCCATACAGCATAATCGCACCCTTAGATTAGTGCTTGCGAGAAGGGAAAGATTAGAGTTTGATAATAACCGGCCAATACTGATACGGATCCATCTAAACTGATCCAATCCTTACCCAAGCCCAAAGTGTTGAATGTTTATTCCAGACGGCCCAAAATAGTGAAAAATAGGGCTGATCTCAGATTGAAAGTGTCTAATAAATGGCGGGAATGCGGGTAGCATGAGGTCATTGTGATTTTTCTTGTTAATTGAGTTAGGCTCTTAGTTGTGGCTTTGAGAGAGGGAAGTTTCCCTGGAGTTGTGATTGTTCTTTCTATGGTAAGTTCCAATTTCGTTAATAATCAATTGTTGATTTCCCTTGCCTTTTAATCCTTTCATTCTTTCCAAATTGTTTGATAATAACAGGCCAATACTTAGAGCTATGAATCCCTTTGTCCCATACAAGTTGAAATGTTTGGGTACATAGTTCAGTAAGAGAGTTATTAGCATTTCAAACCATTATACTTGCAACTCCATGTTTAAACAACCAACACAATTTCATTATCCAAAAACAACATTTCAGTTGGTAGAAAATAAATACACAACACTTCTGTTACTTCTTGCAACGTTTTTTGTGCTATTTTTCAGCCAAAGTTTGCCATTCTATTTCAGATCAAGTGTTACTTTGCATTTTTGCAAGTATGTAACCGAAGTATCAGGTACTATGGTCCAAAAATGCTAATCATTCTTAAAAATAAGTATTTTTACTACGACCTCATGCCTAAACTATTGTTCAATGATGACAATACCATTCACATTTTGCAAGACTAATGGGAAAATAAGTGATTCGCTTTGAAACTTTGCAAAAAGTTGAAATATTGGAACTAAATGGGCATCCTAAATCCTAATATTGACATTGTTGAAACTTAAGGGAAAGAGGGAGTATAAGGCGATGCTTTCATCAAATTAATATAACGATATATAGCAGTTGATCTCAACATAAATATGGGCTTCCATACCAATGAATGATCCAAAGTAAACATGACAACTTTGTCATCTGCAGCCCCTGAAATTCCCCCACTGAACCTCCCATCCACGCACAAGCTTAGAACTGGTGAATGAAGCAATCCTTACATGAGCAGGGTAACAGAAATAGCAAGGCCACAAGCTCCAAAAATATAAACATTTGTTTCCTAAAAAATGATCATGTGGGATTCACACTAATAATGCCGTTCTTAGCCACCACGTACCTGGCTCTGAATGGAACCTTACAGAAGTCAAAGGAACCCCAGGATTCCTTAAATCCCACCAAGCCATTGTTCCATCCTCATAACTGCATGCATAACAGTCTTCTTCATGAGTATCATCATATTTCGTTTCAGGAGATCCATTTTCTATATACTGACGACGTAAAAAAACACAAGTGGCTCTTAGAATGCGACAAGGGTCCATGATTTATTACCAAAGGGCCTTCGGCTTAGCGGTATCTGGGCTTTTGGTCTCTCAAGAGGTTAGGGGGTTCAAACCTCACTACAGGTGAGGAGGGTGTGTGAGTTTTTTTATTGGATTTGCTGTACATAAATATTATATACTTCAAAAAAAGGTTCATGATTTACTATAATAATGGTGCCATATTTATAGAGAGTGTGAGACACTTGTCATCAATCAGGAATAGCTAGTGTGCAAAACGGCCCGGTTTTCAATTATCTGATACTCCCTCCGTCCCAAAATAAGTATCCACAATCAAAAAACACACTTTATGAAATGTGTAATCATTACCAATTTTAATTAACTAAATTACAATTTTATCCTTGATGATACGGGTAAACCTTTTCTCTGTCTCCGTCTCATCAACTCTTAACTATTTGTGCCTCATAATTGAGGGTAGAGTTGGAAAGTTAGTAAGTTATAACCATCTATTTTTGAAAATGGGCACTTATTTTGGAACAAACTTAAATAGAAATGTAGACATTTATTTTGGGACGGAGGAAGTAGTAAAATTCTGAATGAATTCAAATTGCTTGTGCATTTAAAGAAAAAAAGACAAATAACTAGGACAAACTGAAATAAGGACAAACCCTGCTAGCACATGTAGAAATCCTTGTGATTCGGAAGGTAAAAACAATTGAACTGCCATGCACAAACCTGTTAAACAACAGTAGCAGGAATCATGAGGCATTATAAGATATATCACAAACATCAATAGTTACAGAGTAATGCTAAATCCTCCTCACTTATCCGCATAATAACAAGATGATGCACATGACAAAATCCAAGGAATGGAATGAAGAGAGAAAGATAAATGCTTAAATTTTGCTCAAGAGTCCCCATCTTGTTATTAGGAGGCTAAGTAGTTGGATTTAACAGTTTTTATGATTAAATCATAATGAAATAATAGTTTCTGAAACTTGGTCTCAAATAAAAGGCAAATGTTTGACAAGCACAGAGCTTGATGATAGTGTGTGACGATTATTCAATATCCAAGAATCTTGTAAACCAGAAATCAATTTATCAATATTACGATTGCTGAAGAGCAAGGAGGTAACTTCATATTCTAACTTCTCAATGTTGCATTTACATTTAGACAGAGGGTACTATTAGTTAATGATAAGTATACCTGTGACCACTGACTAAGGCAGTTTTAGTCCGCTAGGCAGATAATTAAGTTTATAGAAACATCATGGCCAAAAATAACAGTATTAAGCCCAAAATTCCAGGTAGATGGCCAGTGCTCTAAAGTAAAGAAAGATAGGTTACTTCATATGATCTCCTCATATAGATAGACTAAGAAAAAGCAAAATGGCATGTAAATCCATGGAGATGGATGCAATGGAAACTCTTTGCTATAGGGTTATTTAGAAGCATATCATTAACTTTCATGTTTAGTTCTATTCTTTTTCTTGATTTTCATATTCTAGACTGCTAGCAAATATTTATGTCAATGGTCAAGCAGATAACTTTATATGCACCAATTGAACTAAGAGCACTTCTCTTATCATAAAGATACAACAAAGTTAAGGGATTACCTTGTTCTTGGTAGTTATCTACTTAATCGTCAGTATGATCATTAGCCTTTCTTTTTAAGATTATGAGCACTCGGGTGAGATTAAATATGAGAAATCGTCTTATTTCTATTAATAAAATGAAGCATAGTTTAGGTACCTTTTCCTTTAGTAAAATTATTTGTAGAGGCACCAGAAGAATGTGGTAACCGTGCAAACCTTTCTGCAGCATTGAGATTCCATACTTCAACCTTTTTCCATTGATATTTCTCGTAAAAATCACGGAGCAAAGGAACATACAATAAAAAAGTAATTTAACAACAAATGGAGTGCATACCTCAGAGCAGTCCATCCCTGCCATGGCCACATATGGATGCCCTTCCTCACGGTCATCACCTGAGAGCAGAAAATTATCTTAGATGTTGTTTAATACAACCTCGACATGCCACAATCAAAAAGTACACTTCGGTACAATACATAGACGGACCTAGTTAAGTGCCATGGGTGGCACGTGCCACCGTATCGTTTCTTCGCCGAAGGGTAAAAAATTTAGGTTTCGTGAATGGTGCAACCGTATTAATTTGTTGTGTGCCACCGTATGTATTTTGAAACTACAATGAGAACAAGTTTTATTTGGTAGAGTTGGTTTGCAAGGCTTTTATTCCACCCCACACCCAAGTCCTAATCATGTTAGCGTCATTTTCTTAGTCAAACGGTGCCACCGTTTGAAAAAAAATTCCGTATATTTGTTTCCTATAGTTGAACGGTATCACCGTTTGAAAAAAAAAATTCCTATATTTTTTTTCTTATGGTCAAATGGTGCCACCGTTTAGAAAAAATTCTGGGTCCGTCCCTGGTACAATAGCAAGTGGATTTGAAGAACAAGAGAGGTCATGTCACTCATGCAAAACATATTACCATTGTCAAGATGACAACATTGATGTACCTATTGACAGCAAATTAACTACTCATCCGTCCCAAAATAAGTGTCCACATTCCTATGTTAATAAGTGCCTATTTTACAATTCTACCCTTGATTATGATATGCAGAAATCCATTACTCTCTCTATTATTAAAGGTAAAATTGTTGTTTGGTTGATTAAAAAGCGTAATAAGTATAATTTCTGAAACTGTTTTCATTTTTCATTGTGGAATTTATTCTGAGACGAAGGGAGCACATAAGATGAAATGCAGATGTGTAGGCTGGAGAAGCAGGACTATGGTAGCATACAAGGTGTAGGCTTCAGCAGATACCATAGGCAGGATGAGAGGAGTTTGGGGAGGAGAAGGTGTAACGCCCCACGTCCTTATATATTGGGTGTCGTTACTTTACATGATAAATCTATTAAATCTTGAATCTGAACATGAAATTTAGCTTTATTTATAACATATCTTGAAATTACATCAAAGAAAAAATTACTTAGCGGAAATGTAACCATAGCTTGTATTACAACAAAACTTGCTTTTCAACTAAAACCATATTACTTTATGCAAATCCTCACTTCTTTCCTGAGATACATACATGAGATATATAAGCTATAAGCTTAGTGAGTATTTATGGTTTCATGAATGATAAATTTTCATGATATTTTGTGAATGATAGGTCATTAAAGCTCTTGATCATGCATAAAAATATTCTTTATTATCATGCATAAACATTCATAAAGTACTATCCTTTATCATGCATAAAACATTCTTTTTTTTTAACATTCATAAAGTACTATTCTTTATCATGCATAAAACATTTTTTTTTTAGATCTCACTTGTCACATGCATGTATACCATACTTGTCTTGAGGTTTGCTAACCCCCGGGTCCATAAAAGGCTGCCCTATAAGGTCTGTTTGCAAGACGTTCCTTCTTGTAATATCCCGTACGTTGGATATTATGGTTATACATAACATGTAAAAAATTTCATGCCTTGTGTAACACATATGATAACATGTAAATGATTTTCATGTGTTGTGTGTATACTTGTATTAAAACATGTCATCATGCATATCTTGAATATGTATGTGTATCAATATTTTCATGTAAAACAAACATGCTAACATAACTTGTAATGCATAAAATACTTTTATATATAGCATGCATGTATCTCATAAATCACATAAGTACTCATCTTGATTTGCCTACTTTTTCCTTTGATTCCTTTATTCAAGCTTAATTATGTGTATATATAGAGAGATTTCTTATTTTTGGTATGCATAAATAGTGACCTTTAAATCCCTATTTATAGATAAATTCATTGCATTAACTACTTGTTCTTTTTGCTTTCAAGATTGTACTCTTATGAGAGAGAGTTTGACACCTCATCAATAAAGATAGAGAATCTTCACAACTCATCTCTAAGGATAAGAAATTCTATACAACTCATGCTTCTAGTACTCCTTGTCATGCTTTCTAGACTTGTCTTGTAATCAATAGTCTTGCTAACTCATATTTTTCTAGCCTAAACAACTCATCACTAGCTTGCTTAGTCATGCTTACTACACTTGACAATTCATCACTAGCTTGCTTAGTCATGCTTACTAGACTTGACAACACACTTCTAGCTTTAACAACTCATCCCTAGCTTGTTTAGTCTTATAATTAAGATGTTTTACTAAATGTAACAGCTGCTGGAGTACTTGAATTATTCATAATTATTTGCATTTAAGGCTGAAATATTGAGATTTATCAATAAAGAAATTAGGGTGTTACAGAAGGGTAAGACGGGGAGGGTTTTTTTTTACAATTAGCTTTGTAATTTACTGCTTTAGTCTCACGTTCTTCTTTACTTTCCGAATGATTCAAACTTTTTTTTGCCAAACTTCCAAAAGCATCGCAATCACTTTTCCACAAGCCAAGGGTCTTCACAGAATCAACTTCTCAACTCTTTGGGGTAAATGAAAGATCTTCATACACCCTACCCCCCAGAACCTACTTCCAAGTGGGATATACTGGGTTCGTTTGGTTTGGTTTAAAATGAGATGCACATGTGCCATTGTCTATTTCGAGTAAAAACATGAAGATGATAATTGACTTTTAAGTACAATCACATATGGTGGACCGTGGATAACAAATTGCTTTAAGCTAACACCATAAAGGTATGAGAAAAGAGGGGAAAATATAAAGTCCAGAAAGTACAGTTTCACTAGGTAATAACAACATGCCTCTTATCGCAACCTAGATGGGATAGGCTAAAATGAAATGATGGTATCCCATACATGTTTTCTTTTGATGGCTTAAAATGCAGCACATAAGCCAATCAATTTCACCATCATTGACATTTACACAATTTACCAATCAGCTTCAATGGATTTGTGATCACATAACATTAAAAACTCATGATCACTTCATCCACCACACTCTTCATCATGTCACTATCTTCGCCCATCTCTTCATCCTTATGTAATACTGATTCCAAAAGGCAGGAGGAGACATGCTTAAAAGGTTTAGTTGGTTGTTTGAAAACTGAATGGGAAGCAACAAAGGTTTAGTGAATCTAATCGTAATGCAGCACGGAAAAGACAATGGCCGACAAGCTATTTCAAATTCCTCATTTCATAACTTCAACCAAAAATAGAAACTCTTAAACAAGGACAAATTTTACTTTTAGGGGAAAAACTAAATTAAACACAAAACATGCATGAATGAAGGGTAAAACATCTACAACTGGTCAAAAAGAAGAGAAAATGACCTCCAAATGTGTTGGAAGTTTCTGCCACACTCCCTTGATCCTCTTCCTCTTGGATGTCATGAGAAATTTCTTGACCAGAAGGATCTATGACCTCTGTCCCATGCTGAAGTCTCCGCTTTTCAGCTTTTCTTGTGCCAGCAGAAGGCCTCTTCACTAAAGAAAGCTTGCAAAAGTGATAGGTATTTGCATCAATTGAGATGGAAGGTGTCCTGGTCGCAATCAAAAAGCATCATCTTTTACACAGGTTTTATATTATTCAATTCCTCAAAGATTCTATTAAATTGGTGGGAGTCTCTTTGGATTATGCCATTTCCAAGTTCAACAACTCATCATCCAATAGAATGTGAGAATGGAGAGATCAATGCGAAAGTTATGGAAGTTCATTGGCCCGCATGCTCCACGGGGCCATTGGTTATTTAGAAACATACTGCTGTTTGAAGATGAATTTGTTTATTGGTCAAAATTCATCGTAGCTATCAAGATGAAAACATTCAAAGGGGTTCAAGGAAGGCTTTGTCAACCGCATAAAGTTCACCTATGGAACGACCAGCCTTGGATCTCAACTTCCCGTGCATAAAATGATTGTACTTTTGTTGGTGGATTGAGAATTTGAAATCATCAAGCAAGTGAAGGCATTGGTTACTGAGTGATCTTTTATTCAATTGTATGATTCACTCCTTTTAACAGTTGTTGAAGATCATTGTACTTGTACATTGGTTATTTTACCAAGAAAAAGAAATATAGAAATGACCGAAAGGACATAATTCACACTAATTAGGCTAGGGCCTGTTACTTTATCAGATGATGGCTTCCAGATAAGTGATAACAATATTAGTCTTAACCCTTAATTAATCCAGTGGTGGACTTCTGTAAGCTTCCAACATAAACGAGGCCAGAATCGATCATATAAAGTATAAATTGAACATATAATGTAAAATAGTGCTACAGTATATATCATGCCCTATGTAACCCATATATTTGAGCACATATTTTTATATCTCACTCACTATACCTACACCAGTCTCTCTTTTTGTGGTGACTGACGGATACTACATTTCTTTTGTCCCGTGAATATTGCATCATTCACTTATTGGCACACTTGATCCATTTGATAAAGTTTTGGGCATTTTTTGGCGAATCATTCAAAATGCTACTAAACATAAACCAGGAAATTTACGAAGATGTATGGTGTTCAAAATTCCAGTTAATAGAGTCCTTCAGTAGTTTACGTGTTATCCTTTCATAACTTAGATATAGGTATTGCAAGAATTGCAATACTTGTATACCATTTTGCCAAAACTGAGCAACTTATTAACCAAATTATCAAACTAAAGAAGTGATTATCATCTCTGTGAAAATATTAACCATCAATGGAGGAGTACTCCTTTTATGTAACATCTTGCATGCAAAATATTTCTAGAAAAAGGTGTTATGAATCTCAAAAGTATACATTATGTGTTATTTCCTAGAAACGCCATCTAAAATATTGGTTAGATAACACTTGGACTTCCATTCATCAAGCTACAAGAATATAAATACATAATGACAGGAAAATCATTTGTATAGTTCTCAACTACTTCAATCATAATCATAGAAAATAAGTAACTAGATACCTTGACAATTCCCCGTGCTCAATATCCCAACACCTAATAGTTCCATCCTTGCCCTGGCTATATTGAAAGATGCAATCCAATGATTATTACCAAAAAAGCCCAAGCAGATACACACTTGTTGATATTAAAGAATAAGGTAATAAGAACCTGATAACTTTGTTGTTCCCAATTGAGGGGCTGGTTGAAACGCTTATGATCCCATGTGCTGCACTATGCGCCCTGCATCAAAGTTAACGAAAATACTTTCACATCGAACAGCCTGAACTTGGAAAATGCTAATTTACATCACCCTCATGACAAGATAATAAAAAACCACCCAAAGTGTTTTCCCATCCATATGGAACTTATGTTAAAACAACATAACCCTATTCCTAGGAGAATTCTTGTCTTGATTAAACAAAGCAAAGCTTGCATCCAGTACCATGCAGATGAGATGGTCCGATGTTGCACACTGTCCCAAATTCGTAATTCACCATCTGATGAACTGCAGTAATACCCCATGAAAACACATAATACTTGGCACAGACACATACCTCAAAATACAATGAATATACCGTGTTTAACACAAAGCAAAATACTCACCCTGAGAATACCAAGTTTTGAGAAGAATGGAAACAAACATCCATGACAGAAGCGCGGTGGCCTCTCAATACTGCCACTGGATCAGGTGGCGGTCTCTTGCTCATCTTGATCACAATCCTGTCATTCAGACAATAAATCAAACATCTCAGAAGATCAATTCTGATGATGCTTACAATCCCACCCATCCAACAACAACCAAATAAAATGACTTTTTGATGTGAAAGCAACTTCCTTTAGTCGCAAATGTGATATGGATTTGTTGAAATCTGATACCAACATTACTCAATAGTATTTTGTTATGAAGTTCATTTCCATTCCAATCTTTTCTCATAAATATTTTATAATACATGTCAATTTTGAAGTTTAAAGGTAATGTATTTGACATCCAAAGGGAAGATCTCACTTTTTATGAGTGCAAAACTGCTTTAGTTCACTCTTCATCTAATCATCACCATAGAATTACTATTTTTCAATAAAAGAGGTTGCCTTAGACGATTATAGTATGCTACAAACAGTCCGATTCTGAAAGCGTATTATGAGCTGCATCACTAATAGATCAGATTTTGAGTAAGGTTTCACAAGTACAGTAGGAATTTACACACACAAAAAGAAGAATAGTGGTCGACTTATAACTATTCTCAAATTGAAGTTTGGAACTTGGACAATATATTTTTGCTAATGGTTTAAAGTTTCTCAAGAAAACAAAACGAGTATTAAGTTCTTGCTTGCCTTCATACCAGGAAAGTCACCAGAGGAGTAGGTAAGCAGTAGCTGCCGATGGTGGCAGCTGTCTGATTGTTTTGTCCAAGGGGTTGTGGGCTTTTGATCAGTAAATAAGGGAGGGGGAGTTTGGTCCTGATTTTTTCAAGACTGTTTTATTATTACGACTTCAAATTGTTTAGCGAGTTTTTTTGGGTCGTTTGCTTCGTTTAAGAGAATGGGAATGCTGGGGAATAGGAATGAAAATGGGTGACTGTTGCATTGATGTTGTTTTGTTAATAGGGAGTCATTGTTATTTTCATAGATGTTGCTTGGCTTTTGAGCAAGAAAATCAAGAAAGAAAAAAGAAAGCAAACAAAAAAGGGGTTACTTGATAAAAGAAAGAACATTAAGGCTACATGTTAATCCATCAAGTTGTTGCTATGGTGAATGAAAAGAAAGAGAACTAACAGTCCAGGCAAGTATAATTGTATAACTAAAGCAGTAATTTGATACAACCTCGTAGCATGATGGTAAAACATGTTTATGTGAAAACTTACACAAATTTACTCGCATTACTTCCAAAAGCTCTAACAGGACTTTCATCAAACACCTAAGTCGCAGCATGATAATAATTCATGTTTCCGTTAAAAGATATACGAAGTTACTTGCAATACTACCAATAGTTCTAGAGGAATATTTCATCAAGCATCCAACTTGTAGCATATGAGAAACACATGCTTCTGAGTTATGTGAAATGACATACTAAGTTACTTGCATTATGGTGATCCTGTAGCAAGAGAATTAAAGTACTTAATTGGAGTTCTTGTTTATTCTTGAAGAAACTATTCATAACATTTTGGTGATACAATGCAAATTTGATCGCCTACCCCCAAAAATCTTCTGGGGCGTATAGCAGGCCAGGAAGAAAAAAAAAAGCATCAGAAGAACTGCCGTTTACTAGTTTACCACAAAAAGGGAGATCATCAAAAAACCCTAGTTGCAAAAAGAAATCGACAAACCTGATAAACGAGAAATCTGATGAGAACTTGAGCAGCCGGCGTCCTTCACCGTCGTCGGCTGTGGGAGAAAAGGAAAACGATGAAAGAAAGGATTATGCGTGTCACTGGAAAAAAAACAACAATAAGGGGTGTTTTGGGATCGCTATAATAACTTATTAATTTGTTTCGGTGTAAAATCGGTAATAAACATTTTTTAGTGTTTGACATTTTTTAGTGTTTGGATAAATAACTTATATCGGTATTAAACCAATAATAAGACATTTTTGAGTGTTTGAATAAACAACTTATATTGATGTCAAACTGGTAATAAAGAGTTTTTAAATAAGTTAAACTTTTCTAATTTATAATAAGTTGATAAGTACTTTTTGTAGAAAAACATAAGTTGTTTCAAATAAGCAATCTCAACCACCCGCTTATATTCATCTTTGCAGCAGTAAACTATGTTTTTTGTCCCTATGGTTTGGTTGACATTGCTATTTTCGTCCCTCAGCTTTCGAAATTACAGTTTTCATCCATACCGTTTGCAATTCGTTTCCATTTTCGTTCATAGGAATAAATGGTTGTTTACCAAACACTTGTCGGTATATGGATGGCAAAGTCCCTCGAAGTTGGTTCCCAGTTGACTGGGGATGGGTATGAGAATGAGGAATCCCCAATTTGTTAACCAGGATGGGGATACCCCTCAATCCCGACCCCAACCCCGACCGAGTATTTATTAATAGTTTTTAGAGTAAATTACATTTTTCGTCTCTATGATTTGTTAAAAATTGTCATCCTCATTTTTGTGGTTTAGATATTGTGGTTTTCGTCCCTATAGTTTGTAAATCATTACAAACTATAGGGATAAAAACCACATGGACGAAAATCATAATCTATACTATCTTATAAAGCAAATTTAGCAAAAATCTTAAAAGTCTTGAAATACTAAATGACCAATATACCCTTTATACACTTTTTCACCTCATCCTCTCCTCACATCCACTCACCCCTCACATATCACCCTCTCACAACCAATTTTTTAAAAATTATAATTTTAAATTTACACTTTATATTCTTATAATTAATTAATTAATTTACTTTACGTCCGTTACTTTTAAATGTTTCATTTTAAACTTTTATTGAATTAATATACATAATTGTATATCAATTAAAACATGTTTAAAAAATACATTTTTATTTTAACAAGTTACACTATTATAATCGTCTCTTTAATACCTTCGAAATGAGTCCAATATTGAATAGTTTTTTACTTAATTATATAATTATATATTATATATACTGTGAAAAAATATTTTTAATATTTACGATTTATACTTTTATAGTTATTTATATATATATATATATATATACTATATATTTTGGGTTTAGGCTGTCCAAATTGTACTATATAATATGTTATGAATTAATATGTTCTTGGGTTTTTTTGAAATATATATATATATATATATATTAATTCAACCTTAATCTGAGTTTCTAGACAAGAAAGAGGGTAAACAGTTGAAA